CTCTGATGATCTTTTAAATAAATTAAAAAACAGACATTAAAAACAAATACATGACTAGTTTAGATATAAAATCTTTATAACCAAATCTTCCTGTAAAGAAATGTCTAAATTTACTAAAAACACATTTAACTATAAATAAAATTACCTATTCCTACACATAAAATCAAAAAAATATGACATTTAATCATTAATCAATATTTTTTCACATTCAATAATTTTTATAGACAAAGATTTGGTTTATTGATGGGGGTCTTCTCTTAGTGGTGTTTTGGCTTGTCTATTTTGGGAATTTCCAGAAAGTGGACCTTTCAAAAATATTTTACCACCAAATTCTTATTTCAGATACATAGATGCTTCTCTATTAATACATCCACAAAATATAATTTTACCTGATCTTGTCAATAAACTTAACATTGAACCTACAATAGACTTTACCTTTGAATCTTAGTTTAACAACACTTTACCCTTCTAAAATATCATATTGACAATAATAACAATGGCAATAAACAAAATAAAAACAAAATTATAGTATCTACTAACTCCATAATATCCACTATCCAAAATAATCTATCCAATCTTTCTTTTTATGTGCCATGGTCTTTCAGGACGTAGGCGATCATGGCTCTCCACCTCCCTCTATCCCTTGCAGCTCTCAACAAGTTATTCGCCTCTGCTGTCTCCTCCAGACCACGTTCTGACATAAAGGACAGATGTCATGTAACAGCTCAGAATCGTCGTCTTTGTTACCAAAGAAATCCTCCTGTCTTGCAATACTCTGCCTGGCTTTTGGAATATGTCCTTGGCCATCCTAATACGTCTGTGGATCTTGGTGTCACACTTACTGTTCTCTGTCGAAATGAAACGTCAAAATAATTACAACCTTATCCAAAACTATCATGGATATGATCAGAACCAAAAATACCCAAAACAAAAATAACTCTGAAGCATATATATATATATATATATATATATATATATATATATAACTGAACTGCTCCTCACCATACATGCAGAAATTTTAGGAAAATATATCTATGAACACAAATGAGATATATACAACAATGCATCAAATGCATTAGTTATATGTAGAAATAAATTCAACCACAACTTTGATCCAAAGATTGACACACTTATTAAAAGACCAAGTGACTTACTTAGAAAGAAAATTCCTGACAGTTCTGCTATCAAATCTTATCAAAATATAAATCTGCAACCCAGATTTTTTCGAATTACTCCCTTCCCAAGCCAATATACATGACTATAAAAATGTTAAAAAATTAGAAGCAGTTAAATTTATAACTTCATATTATTTAAAATATATAATACATAAATTAATTCCAAACTAAAATAATTTAAATACTAATTTGCATAAAAATTCTAAATCATCACTTACTCAACTTCATTTGACATTGAATTGTGTCACTTGGCAGCCTCCATAGCTTGCTTTGACTTTTCAGTTAATCTGGTGAATATTTATAAGTGTTCATTTAAAAGTATTTAAAAATTTTGAAAAACCAATAACATTTTTGCTCTGGTACATAAATACTTATTACAAAATAAAATCCTTGCATTTGCCTTGAGAAAGTCTCTCAGAAGATGAAATGTTTTGGCTAAGTTTTCCATTTGTCTTTATTCATATTGTTCTTTCACAGACATACTCTATCTGAAATTTTACGTGTGTTCGTGTGTGTGTATATATATATATATATATATATATATATATATATATACACATAAATATGTGTGTGTGTATAAAGAATTAATGAATTTATTTTTAATTCAATATTTTTATTATAATAGACCAATGGAATATGAAGGAAATGAGAATGAGTCAACCTTTCAATTGTGGCATGGCAGGTCCTTGCTGTGGTCTGGACTCATGGAACTGAAGAATGTACTTCACCCAAACATCTGCTGTTGAAAATTCATAGCTGCATCTAATTTAAGTCTGTTACAGAAAATGTCAAAATTTTGCCAATTTTTGCATAAACCATTTCTGATGTCTTAAATTGTCCTATTTGATGGTTCAATGACAAGGATGGTGCTTAAAATAGCTGAGAAAAAGAGTGTCTTGGGTTGTGGGTGTAGTGCAAAAATATTTTTTTTAAATGAAAAATGGAACAAAATATGCATGAATAATTTCAGACTAAGTGAGAAAGACAAAGATAAAAATAAAGTCAACAAAAAGACATTGCTAACTAAAAAGAAAAACAAATTGAAAGGCAGGTGTAGAAAAAGAAAAGCAGAAACTAGAATTCTGTCAAAGAAAACAGGAAGGCAGCAAACAAAGTTAATGTTATAAAAAAAAAAGACGGCGGCAAATTTAAAGTTATAGAAAATGAAAGGCAAAAGTTGGAAGTAAATCTTAGCAAGAGGAATGCAACAAAATGGAATTCGGTTTTAGAAAAAGCAATGCAGCAAAATGGAATTCAGTTTTAGAAGAAGCAATGCAGCAAAATGGAATTCAGTTTTAGAAAAAGCAATGCAGCAAAATGGAATTCAGTTTTAGAAAAAGCAATGCAGCAAAATGGAATTCAGTTTTAGAAGAAGCAATGCAGCAAAATGGAATTCAGTTTTAGAAAAATCAATGCAGCAAAATGGAATTCAGTTTTAAAAAAAGCAATGCAGCTAAATGGAATTCAGTTTTAGAAAAAGCAATGCAGCAAAATGGAATTCAGTTTTAGAAAAAGCAATGCAGAAAAATAGAATTCAGTTTTAGAAAAAACAATGCAGCTAAATGGAATTCAGTTTAAGATAAAGAAATACAGCAAACTGAAAATCAATCTAAGAAAATGAAAAGACAAACAATCTTGCCAGACACTGAGAAACATATTAACATCTTAAAGTATGCAATGATTAAAATACTAGAAAGAGTAAAATATATGCTTTAGCTTTTATCTTTCTTAATTTAAAAAAAATAATTATTTGAAGAAAAATGGATATTTGCTGTGTTTTCAGGTAGGCTACAATATAAACATAGAAACTGTTTCTGGTCCAAACCTCCTCTGAACTGGCAAAATATAGAGGACTATTTTCTGTCTGCATTTTAAAACCCAACTAGCTTACCCAATTTCTCCAGAGCTGACCCTCCAGACAATGGCAGGCCAGGGTGAGATTTATTTCCAGTGTTCAGACGACTGCACTAGCAACACTGGGCAGCCCACCCTGAGAGGAGGGTAGGGAAGGGAAAATATGTAATTTTGTGCTTGGGCAAAAGTGAGTTAATGTTTCAAATGCATAACAAAAAGAGTATGAGAACAAAGAGGAAAAAAAAAAAAAAAAATGAAGGAAAATGGAAGAAAACGGTCGACAGAGATGGGGAAGTGAAAAAAGAACAAATAATGAGAGTTGGGAAAAAGTGATGAGAGTAAGATGGAGAGAGAAAGGATTGAATGAAAGAGAAAGAAAGGATTGAATGAAAGAGAAAGAAAGGATTGAATGAAAGAGAGAGAAAGGATTGAATGAAAGAGAGAGAAAGGATTGAATGAAAGAGAGAGAAAGAACAGAAGAAGAATATAAAGGAATTCTCCAAATTTAAAAAAACAAAAAAAAACAAAGAATAATATTGTTGAAATTAGAAAGAAGGAAGTGAAGGAAAATGCTGAATGAAAAAAAAAGAAAGGAAAGTGAGACATAATGAGAAAAAGGAAAAAAAAATGAAAGACTTATAAAATAGAAAAAGTTATATGAAAGGCAGAGGAAAAAAAAGAGGGAGGAAGGGAATTATATGAAAAAGAAAGAAAAAATGTGGAGTATAAGAAAGATTAAAAAAAAACTAAAAGACAATGATAGAGAATGGGTGAATGATAAAGAGAAAAAAAGAAGAGAAAATTAAAGAAAGAAAAAGAAGGAAAACAAGAATAAATGAAATGAAAAGAAAGAGTGACAGTATTTACGAAAGAGGTACATTTAAAAAGAAAAAAAGAAGGGCATAAAAATTTGTACGAAAATTAAAGATGATAATGAAAGACATTTTATTAGAGATTTTACAAGTTTAGATTCAGTGAGGATCGAAATAGCTGAATATTTGCAATATTTATATAGACATAACCAATTAAAGAGGCAATTTTTTAAGCAGATAAACAATGGCAACCATCTTTGGAACAGAAATGATGCGATATAATGAGAAAATGGTAACAAAAGAGATAGATAAGATTTAGATTATAGAAAGGGAAAAAAGTAAAAGAATGTAGCTATGAGCTGATAAAGCATATTTGAGAGAGAGAGAAAGAAAGAGTGTCAAGCTGGGTTAAAGAGGAGTGTAGTATTAAATTTATGGGTATGAGAAAGAAAGAAACAAAGAGAAAGGAGCTGTCTGAGATTTAGAGAGAAAAAGAGGGAATTAGAGAGAAAGCTTGTAGCAAGAAAGTAAGAAATGATAAAGACATTTCACATGAAGAATGAAAAAAAAAGAGCAACAAAGAAGAGAGTTTGTAAATAGAAAGAGAAATGCAAAGAAGAGAAGGAAAGAGAGAATAACAAAGAAGATCTGAGAAAGTGAGTTTATTTGATATTAGAAGAGAAAGAAAGTGAATAATAAAGAAGATTAAAAAGAGAGAGAGTTGGCTGATATAGAAAAGAAAGTGAACAAGAAACATGATTAGAGAGAAGGAGATTGAGAAAAGAGAAGAAAGAAGATTAGAGAAACGTGTTAGAACTGATTAACATAAAAATAGAAACATAATGAAAAATATTAGAGAGAGTTGATTAACATAAAGGGTGAAGGAAAGAGAACAACAATGATTAGAGAGGAAATGGTTGATGTAAGAAGTGAAAAAAGATTACAGAGAAAGGGAGAAAGAGTTGGAATGCAGGAAAAGAGAAAATGATAAAGAAATTCAAGATGAAATGTAGAAGGAAGTAAACTCATTCATAGTTTGAAAAACAAATAAAATATGACCGAAATAGAGAGTGGGGAAAAGAGTAAAAGGAAAGTCTGCAAAGGAATCAAAAAATGTAATTAAGAAAAAGAATGACTATAATAAAGTATACAAAAGAAATCAAATGTGGGGAAAGAGGGAGGAAAGGAAAGAAAAAGGAGAATGAGTGAAAAGCAAGAGAGAAAAGAAAATGTCAAAAGACAGGGGAAGAAAAGAGGTTGAGTGAAAAGAGAGAAAGAAAGAAAAAGGAGATTGAGTCAAAAGAGAGAGAGAGAAAGAAAAAAAGACCAATTCAGAAAAAGAGAGAGGAAGAAAGGGAAAAAGATACTGAGTCAAAAGAGTGAGAAAAAGGAAAAGAGGTTGTCAAAAGTTATAAAGGGAGAGAGAGAGAAAGAAAAAGAGGTTGATTCAAAAAAGACAGTGGGGAAGGGAAAAGAGATTGAGTCAAAAAAGAAACAGAGACAAAAAAAAGATAGAAGAGAGACAGAAGAAAAGAGGTTGATTCAAAAGAGAAAGAGGGGAAAAAAGAGGTTGAGTCAAAAGAGAAAGAGGGGAAAAAAGAGTGAGTCAAGAGAGAGAGAGAGAGAGTAAGAAAAAAGATTGTCAAAAAAGAGTAGGAGAAAAAGGAAAAAGTGGCTTTCAAAAATAAGAGAGAGAGAAAAGATAAAGAAGTTGAATAAGATAAAGAGGGTGAGAAAGGAAAAAGAGAGATAAGACAGTATAAAATGTGGAATGAGTAAGACAAAAAAAGGGAGATAAATGAAATCAATACAAGTTGGGGAAAGATAGAGACGTTAAGAAAGAAGGAATTCAGAAGGAGGAGGAAATGTGTTAGAAGGATGGTGAGGTAGAGAGAGTGAGAGAATCCCCCCTTACAAAAATCAATGACCATTCCCTCATTTGTTTGACCCACAATAGTTGTGTGGAGTTGCTTAGTTGAAATTCGAATACCCGACTCAAGGCAAGCAAAGCATTGAGGAGAGGTAAGCTAGATGTTTTTTCTCAATTTTTCTGACTCTCATTTCTCCATCATTTTCCCACCCCATCTTCGTTTCTTTCCACCCTTTTACAAGCCTATAATTGACACTGTTCATCATACAATCAGAATCATTATTACTATCATTCACTGTCATTTCCCTATCATATTGTTGATGTTAATGGTGGTGATGCTATGATGTTTGCATAGCTAACTTGTTCCTACTTGTGTGTTCTCTTGTACTCACTTCCATCAAACACATGTAGATTTTTTTTTTCTTCTCATGAGTCCACACACTGGACTTTAAAAGTACACATCAAATGGCTGAATGCACGAAAATAAAACAAAATATCCAGTTATCAAGGAAGAAGAGTTTTCCCAATTTCAGATGAACAAGAGATCATTATAAGATTTGAAAATTATCAGTCTAGCCATCTATTTACTTTTCTGGAGCAGCTTGATAGCAGAAAGGGTAGCAAATTTGCCTATAGTGCCAATCGTCAATATTCAAGGCATGATAAAAACGAAGATCTCAAATGCTAATTTTTAAGACAATTGTTCTATATCAGTGAGTTCATTATATATCTGCTTAATTCTCTTATATCTGCCTGTGTCTTTATCTAAATATCTATCTACCTTCATATCTATCAATCTATCTTAATATCTGAATAACTATGTGTCTTTCTACCTCACTATCTGTCGAGGCTGTTTCAAATTCTTCATATCAATCATCTATTTATTTATCTCTCATTTTTCATTTGTCTATACATATATTGCTATCTGTTAATCTAAACATCTGTCTCAAACTCTTCATATCTATCTCAATCTATTGGTATTTATCTATATTCCCTTTTTATGATCTATATCCATCAACTAAGTTTAGATTAGTCTGGCATAAGGCCAGTGTAAAGCCATGAGCAATAGTTGAATAGAGCATGGACATAAACAGCAGTTTGCTAATGATTAGTGAGATTACTCTTCGCACTCGAACCTGCACAAAATACATGCAGAAAATATTAATTCCTTTACAATACAATACATAGATTTTTTTTTTTATCTATCTACATATATGTCTCTAATAATATAGACAATTAGGTGGTGAACATTTCTTGGTCTGACAAAAAAATATTTGGGCATTTACTTAAATTTTTAGAAGTGTGTTAGACTGAGAACTTTTCAGCACCCAACTTGTGTGTGTGTCTGTGCATGTGAGAGAGAAAAGAATGACAATGAAAATTGATATATAGAAATTTAAAAGTATGTGTTATATATATATATATATATATATATATATATATATATATAGGCAAGTGGCTAGAACATTCACATTCTTACCATGAGACCCAGGTTCAAATCTCCTCATGGTCAATTTGTAAGGAAGGTGACTTCCTGATATTATCAAACGGGAGGGGTTGATCCCAGCATGTGGCACCTTTGGAAAGTGCCTGAAAACCACACCACATGTTGACGCAAGCTTCTTGAGTGAAACTGAATAGACAGAACCCTTGGGGGTCATCGATAGCTGTGCAACCACAAAGTCACAAGTCATCATAGCTGAGGGCTTGAGTGTGCTGGACAACACACCCTTTCCCAGAAACTATAACTAAGGTCTGCTCAGCACAGTTACAGTATAAACCACAAGTGGGCTCTGTGAGTATTGAATAAACACAAATGCACCTGAGCAAGCATCTGTAACAGGGATTGGCCAGCTGCCCTAATAGATGGATATCCTTCTATATGAGTGGCCAGCTATACTATGTAATATATAGATAGACATAAAATAAATATACATACAAATTTATATATATGTACCTCAGAGAGGACCCCATTCCTTGAGTGCCTATTTGGTCTTAAATTCAACCCAGCCCTCTAATAGGGCCCATACGTACACTAAAGATGCTGGAAAAATGGTCAGTTCTCTGTACTGTTCTAGTAAATACCTAACTTCTAATGCTATCTTCTACCTTTACAAAAGCCAGTGTCATATATGGGCAAGAGCTGCCCAGTTATCACTTCCCAGTCTTGATGGAGTCCAAAAGCGTCTCTGAGGGTGACAAATTATTTTCCTCCCTACAACTGCTTTCTCACAGATGAAACATTGCAAGCCTCTCAATGTTCTATTGCTATTTTCATGGAAAGTGCTCAGATGAACTGCATTCCTTCCTGGCTAAGACCTGCCAATGTATGCATGTTGTAGCAAACCACCTTCATACCCTTTGTATTCTATTGATGCCCAGGCTTTGTACTGAGGGAACATCACTAATATATTTATCTAATTACTAAGTAAAGCAGATCCTTATTTAGACATGTATTGTTAAATATAACAGTCAACAAATGTCTATTATGTTTTATCATGAGCCAAGCTTCAATAAAACAAAGCAACCGCAACTCAACAAAATTACATTTCAAACCAGTCATAACATATTACAATGCATTTAAACATACGGCTCTGTTAATAACATTTCTCTTATATGGTCATGTATGAGATCATAGAACAGCAGTATGAATTTACAACCTGTGTCTGCTATTCTGTAACTGTTATTATCACATAGCAAACATCTATGTAAACAAAATAGGATGTCATCTTTTAAAGTGAACATCTCTGTTGTAAAGTCTGAATAACCACTCTAATGATGGCTCATTTGGACCAAAAGCTTAGATTGATGAACAATATAATAAAGAAATATCTAAATGTTGGACAGTTTTTGTCATTATTTTTTCCTGAAACTAAAGCCATTATACAACACGTGAAAAGGCTCATGATAAAACATAATATGCATTCGTTGCCTGTTATATTTAACAATATGTGTTTTTATTATAATTTATATTATTTTAAACAAATAGAGCAGGAGTAATAGTAAGGATCATCCTCCTTTGAACATTATGAAATGATGCTATGCAATCACAAAGAAAGAACTTTACCATATAAGAGAAACCACAACACTTGAGGATTTTCAACAACAACTAAAATGGATAGCACATGTAACTCAAAGAGAAAATAGTGACATAATCAAGATAGTGATGTTCCACATAGCTTAAAAAAATGTTAGGAAGGAAACCACCATTTATACTAGAAAGAGCAATAAGAATCTCTTGCTTTCTTTCGCTTTTCTCTTTCCTTCTCCTTTCATGCTCTGTATTTCTCTTTCCTTCTATCTCTACCTCTTTTGTCTTTATGAAACAAGATTCCTCAATGAATCATTAGAAATATGAAAATTTTACCTATAAGTCCCATAAATCATCTCTGGAAATTGAAACATTCTGGGTTTTTTACTACATTTTTTCTTGTAAAATTCTGGGATTCTCACAATAAGTTTCCATTCAACTTTGATCCTGACCTGAGATCAAAGAAAAGTGGATGAAAAGAGAACTTTTCACTGCACTAATAATATTTCTTTCTCACTAATGGATGATAAAATATTCCTTGTAATATTAACATGCATAGAAAATTGGAACTGCCAAATGATTCTGTTTTAAAATTAAAATAGTTCAAATTTTTCTCATCAACACAAAATTCAGAAATAGTATTTACTGCTCAAACTAACCATTTTGGATGGACATGATGACAAGAGTTTTCTGAGTGGCACCAATCTCAAAGGAACAGCATTGCTTTTTATGATATATTAATATTAATTCATTTACAATTAGAAATACATACATTTTTTTTATCTATCTACATATATGTCTCTAAATATATAGACAATTGGGTGGTGAAAATTTCTTGGTCCAACCAAAAAACATTTAGGCATTTGCTTAAATTTTTAGAAGTGTGTTAGACTGAGAACTTTTCAGCACCCAACTTGTGTGCGTGTGTGAGAGAGAGAAAAGAATGAGAATGAAAATTGATATATAGAAATTTAGAAGTTTGTGCTTTTTATATACATATATATATATATATATATATATATATATATATATATATATATATATATATATATATATATATATATATATATATATACATATATATTATATATATATGAATGGGCAAGTGGCTGAGTGGTTAGAACATTCACATTCTTACCATGAGACCCAGGTTCAAATCTCCTCATGGTCAATTTGTGAGGAAGATGACTTCCTGATATTAGCATATGGGAGGGGTCAATCCCAGCATGCGGCACCTTTGAAAAGTGCCTAAAAACCATACCACAGGTTGATGCAAGCTTCATGATTTAAACTGAGTAGACGGAACCCTAGGGGGTCATCAATATCTGTACAAGCACAAAGTCACAAGTCATCATGACTGAAGACAAACTCTTCAAGATTGAACTAGACTACAGGAACTGGAAAGACACACAACCTAAAGAAAATCAGGTTTTGAAGAAGGTCCAGTGAACACACAGAAATACAAATTAATTGTACAGTTTCTACTCATCCTTACTATTGTATTGACTTTAATCATTATGGCTGTTATATACATGTGGCATGTGCCAGACTAATTTAAGCTTGGTAAATATTGATCAGCATAGACTGAGGTAAATAGTGTCACAGATTTGGGAATAGATAGTAATGGTGAGATAAACTATTAACATACAGGAAAATTTGACATTCATTGACCGAACGTTTATAAAATCTTTTTCTTAAAACAGTGTTTTGGAAATCAAACTTCTTCATTCACTATGGTTGTTCTTTCTTGTACTGATAGGAGTTTCCTTTCTAACCTTTTGTTAAAGGTAGTGTGGAAAGCAAATATCTTGATTATATCATTATTTTCCCCTTTTAGATACATGTGCTCTCCATTTTAGTTGCTTCTTCAAGTTGAAAGTCTTCAAGTGATGTGTGGTTTAGATAGATAGAATCAGAGTAGATAGATATGAACAGATTATGATAGATAAATAGATATGAACAGAGAAGATAGATATGAACAGATTATGCTACATATAAACAGAGAATACAGATAGATCAACAGAACCAGA